AAAACGTTAAAGTTGGGGGTTAATATTGATTACTCGAATTTTAATTTGTCTAGGGTAAATTTGTATCATTTTAATTCTATGTAATTCCAAATTTATTTCAGCTCTACTTTAAAACCCAAATCCCCCCCCCCCCAAACACACCTATCAGCCCACCACGCCGATGGAAAAAAAAATCCCTTGAATCATCATTTAATTACTCATTTGCATTTTCAGTTGTTTTTTTTTAATATTTAGACGTTTTGTATTTGATCTATGTATAAGTAAACCATCTTAAATAAATGAAAGTAGGCTAAAAGTAAGTAAGAAACATTACTATTGTAAATCTGTATCAGTTCTCACAAGCCGATGACGAGACTGTAATACTAAAGCTAACATGCAAGGCAAACTGACGCTGTAAATTACATGTCTGAGGCGGTAAAAAAGAGGAGAAAACAAAAACAAATAAATTTACTTTCTCGTATACGAAGCATAGAGGAAGTGCAAAAAAAAAAAACGGAGATTTTCGCAGATCTCCGTACGTCTGTGTGTGTGTATGTGTGTCTGTAAACACGATAGCTTGATTACCGATGAAATTTATATATAACGAGCCGACCCGCTGCGTATTTGCTTAAAAACATTAAACCCCCCCTCCCCCCCCCCCCACGTGAAAGCAGCCTCCTCTTAGTTACCTCCTCTAAGTTTAAAATCGTTTCAAACTAAATTATCTGCCCCTAATAGCCGTCACCAAACCCGTATCTATGATTGTAAAATGTAAACAGCGTGACCACAGCTCACCAGACAATTTGGGGGTGGGGTGGGGGTGGAAGTGATAGTGATAGAGAGAAAGAGAAAGAGAGTGACTGCAAGGAGGCGCTTGCAGCTTGTTTTCTAACTGATCCCAGAAGAGAATTATATATATAGATACTTACTGTTTGTAGAAAACCACACAGCAAATCAGGGGCTGGTAAAGCTTGAGCAAGGTTTTGGTTTGTGCTTTGTCATTCCCCCCCCCCCCCCCAATCACCAAACCGACACTGGCTTGTAATTACCTTTAAAAGTGTTACCTAATACACTACAATCAATACGGTCATTAGGGATCGGCGTGGTCGAGTCGGTAAAGCTCATGGTTGCTAAATCGAAAATCTCGGGTTCGAACCCTCGGGCAGATGAGGCTCGCTAGCTGGGAAGAGCAGCTCTTCTAGGAGAGACAACTCCAAAATCAAACAACCTCTGCTGTGTAGTTTGTTCTTGGTTGAAAAAAAAGGCTAAAAACTAAAAAAAGAAAAGCAGGCTGAAATCGGAGTCAATGGCCTCAATGGCGCATAACCGGTTGACACGTATCCTTAACTGTGATGGAGGCGTGGTCGAGTCGGCAAAAGCTCATGGTTGATAAATTCGAAAAAAAGTCTCGTGTTCAACCCTCTGGCAGATAATGCTCGATTCTTTCCAACACTAAAAATTAAGATCGAAGAAGAAGAATACGGTAATTTAAATATAGCACTAAATATAATATAAAATGGCGTCATAAATGCAGTATTATAAATATATTAAAAATAATGTGAAGTGAAAACAAAAACATTGCTCAGAGAAAAGAATATTGTACTTTGAAATTTTGTAAAAGAAAGGCCGATGGCTAGGACATTTAAAAAGTTTAATGCATCTAGTTCAGAACCTACCAATTGATTTATTAATTTATCATAATTATTTTTAATTCTTTAATTTTAAATATTCAAGAAAGACAACTTATAACTACAATCCAAAATATCGTTACGTAAGTTAATACATTCATAAATAATTAAATAAAAGGCAAGCTAGTGTTTGTTTTGTTGTTTTTTTTTATTGAAAATATTAAAATGTGTTATATTTCAATAGTTAAACAATTTTTAATTTTAAATTTTTTTTTGGACAATAACTTTAAAAAAAAAACTTCTAGCTGATTTAAAAATTGATTTACATAAATTAAAAGGTTCAATTTTGTCAACGTTGTGCGTTTAAATGCTTTTGACTTTCTCGACATTACAACATAACATTTGAATCGTTAGACTTGTTCTCAACAAAAAAAAAAAAAAAAAAAAAATACAACATGTGATATTAAGATTCGACATTGTTTCACATTACGTATGTGACATTAAGAAAAAAAAATGCTCTTTTATAATTAGCTACAAGGGGACGGAGTGGTCTAGCGGTAGAGAGCTAAACTCCTACTGCTAACCCGAAAGTCTCGAGTTCGAATCCTGGTTCAGTAGACCGTCCCTGAGTCCACCCAACTCTGATGGGTACCTAACTCACGTTAGGGAAAATAAAGGCGGCTGACCATAGTGTTGAAAGGTCACAGAAACAAGTGAACTCTACTTCACTTGCCCCATAGACCGTCAGGTTTAAAAGCCAAACTTTACATCAACATCAAATTCTGTACACAATTTTGAACATCAAAAATGGAAAAAACGAAAGGTTTAAAAAAAAAAAATTAAAAATTTGTATTACTTTCGGCCTAGAAAGTTGTATACATTTCATATAATACGTCTGGATAAGTAGATCTATAGCTCTAAATTATATTTGAATGCATTCGTTCAGTTTCTTCACATTCTAAAATTGGAAGATGACGCCATTAGCTTTGTGTTCTTTCCGTAGCTTAAACACGTGAATGTGACGTCACTGTTTATTAAGTTTGTCACAACTATAAACTCTTTTCCGGGTGTATAATTAAAGTTGTGTTTCTACATTTGAAAAAAAAAATACGAAGTATAGAGAAAGTATTGTAATCGTGCAAAAAAAAAATCGAAATTTTACAAATCTCGACGTTTTACACCTTACTGATACGGAAAAACATAATTTTGCAATCTTGTCCGTATGTCTGTGTGTCTGTGTGTGTGTGTCTGTGTGTCTGTGTGTAAACACGATTACTTGAATACCGTTACAGCTAGGTTGATGAAATTTCATATATAAGTATTTTATCAAAATCGTAAATCCGTATCAACTTTTGAGCGATTTCCGATAACCGTAAGTGGTAATTTTTCTACTTTGATTTTTTAAAAAGCCTATAACTTGAGTATTATTTCAGATAGATAAATGAAATTTCACATGTAAGTAAAAGATCTAATTCTCTACCTTCTGTCAAATTTTAAGTAATTTCCGTTCACAGGAAGTACTAATTTATGCTAGTTCCGAATTCTCAAAAAAAAAACCGCACGTAAATTTATAAAGTACTTATAATGTTGCGCACTACTATGCACATCTTTATTTGGCGTTCACTTGGTGTGCAATTTTTTTTTCTACGAGGATTTATTCCATTTTAAAAAGTTTAGGTAGCCTATTTAAAGTGGATTAAAAATCATGTCTATATCCCGAGTCGCCATTCCCCGTAGTGTTATATTAAAATAATAGAGAAAGTTTAGGGGAGATCACTCCCGGTTTATTATTAATCATTTTTACTTTCTCTTATTTACGAAGTAAAGAGAAAGTCTTGAATTCGTGCACAAAAATAAACCGGGAGTGATCCTTCCTAAACTTTCTCGAATATTCTAATATAACAATACGGGGGATGGCAACTGGGGACATAGACAATATTTTAATCCATTTTTAATTACTTAAACTTTTTATAATAGAAATAGAATCTCGTAAAAAATGAATAGCACACCAGTTGAACGCCAAATAAAATAAGCATAATAGTGCGGGATATTATTAGTACTTATAAATTCACATGCGTTTTTTTTTTTGAGAAATCGGAAATAGCGTAAATCTCTACTTCCGGTCGACGGAAATTACTCAAAATTTGAAAGAAGGTAGAGCTGTAACGGTACTCAAGTTATCGTTTTTACACACACACACACACACGCACACACACACACACACACACACACACGCACACACACACACATACTCACAGACATACGGACAAGATTGCAAAACTATGTTTTTCCGACTCAGGGAGCCCTAAAATGTCGAGATTTGCAAAAATCTCAATTTATTTTTGCAAGATTGCCAGACTTTCTCAATACTTTGTGTATACGAGAGAGTAAAAACGTATATGAATTTATAAAGAACTAATAACATTCCGCACTATTATGCACATTTTTTTTTGGCGTTCACTTGGTGTGCAATTTTTTTTTTCTACGAGATTTTATTTTATTTTAAAAAGTTTAAGTATTTGAAATGGATTAAAAATCATGTTTATATCCCGGGGGCGTGGGGGGGGGGGGGGCAGTAGACTTTCTTCGGTTGGGGGGGTGTGTAGAGCCCCCACGAAGATGTACCGGGAAGAATCTCTGCACGTGTGTACCGACTAAGGAGTCTACCTCCTATAAGCCAGGCAGGCCACGTCGTAGCGAACTCCGACTAACTGTCCTTGAAGATGATGGTTTGATCGCTACATTTTGGTCGCTTTTCATCCGAAGGTTCTCACCAGGCTTGTCTTCCCCCATCCCCCCCCCCCCACAGCAGATGCGGGTCGCCGTGTCCTACCACCCGGTACCCAGCTTGACAGTGGGGGGGGGGGGAGTTAGGGCCTAAAAACAGGTTAAGGACGCGTTTCTGCCTTCATGTGCAAAACACCAAAGTCGACACCCCCCCCCCCCCCCCCCACAGCCGACCACTCACGGCCATGTAGGACACTGTGTTTTCTATGGTCTCCATGAAGAGAATTATATATATGTAGATCCTCTTATTAATTCAAGTAGAAGTTTTCATAGTTACTTATCAAATGTCGTGTCACCCCCACACCGGTCGTTTGTTGAGGTATCAGTTATTGAAAATACTCAACAAAACAAAAACGAAGAAGAAGAAGAAAATACAAAAATTAAAATTAAAATAATTGGCATTTTATCTTAAATTAATGAAGCAAACTTACAATATCTAATTTACAATTATTGTTTTACTTGTGTCACTCCCCCCTCCCACCACAAAGGAGCACCGATCCTAGCGTCACATAGAGGCTTCACTGATACTACCTTCTGGAGTATTCCTAACTCTGGTGGGCCTAGGCTTTCTTCACCTCCAGTACATTGTACTACCAGCAATGGGAGATGTTCCTTGACCATTCTTGTCCCATGGGCGCCCTAAAAGCCACGGAGCTGCAATGCGGTGTACTTCCTATTGAAGTGTCCATCCCGAATAGAAAAATTCAACGTCATGGTGGATATCACAAAGAAAGTAAACGAGCTAAATGTACAACTGCAAGGTACTTTAATTATGGCACTATATATTCGGTGTCATAAATACAGTATTATATATATATATATATATATATATATATATATATATATATATATATATATATATATATATATGTATATATATATATATATATATATATATATATATATATATATATATATATATATATATATATATATAACGTGAAATGAAAACTAAAACATTGTTTAGAGAAAAGCACAGTGTACTTTGGAATTTTGTAAAATAAAGGCCGGTGGCTAGGACGTTTAAAATGTTTAATGCATCTATTTCAGAATCTAGCAATGAATTTATAAAATTATCAGAACTATTTTATATTTATAAATTTAAAATACTCAGGAAAGACAACTCATAACTACAGATCCAAATACCGTCAGATAAATTAAGAAATTAAGAAATAATTAAATTAATGGAAAACTAGTGTCGTCTGATTTGTTTCCTAGAAATACAAAAACTTTTGTATGAAATTTTTTATCTTTAAAACTTTGGTTCTTATATTAAGTTTTTAATTAGACAATAATCTTAAATAAAAACTGTTAGCTGAATGAAACAATGATTTTTAAAAATGTAAAAGTTCAAATTTCACACTATTTACTTTATCTTGTTTAAATTATCTAGGCAACCTAATGAGTGGGCTAATCAGCCAGAGCCAGGGAATGAAAACCCTGATCTCAATGAGGCTGTTGAAGGTGAGCAAGCTCCTGTAGGAGAGGCTTCGTCAAATGAAATGACATTGGATGAATGGAAAGCTTTGCAGACTCAAAATAAACCCAAGGCAGAGTTCAACATCAGACAGCCTGGGGAAGGTGAAGACGGATCTAGATGGTCTAAGGGTCGCGAGTATCATAAAAAGCATGAGGAGGAAGAAGAAGAGGAAGAAGAATCCGAGGAAGAGGATGAGGAGGATCGCCATGCTCGTGGCAAGCATTTGGTGACAGATATTCGCATTACCTTTAATGATCCTCCAAGGCGAGGTCGTGGTAGGCGTGGAGGCAGAGCCGGTATGGAGAGGGGCGGCATAGAAAGAGGTGGTCGTGGATCCCGCGGAGGTACAAAAGGTATGGGTTGCAAGCCCAGAGAATCAGCCCCACGATTCGATGATGAAGCTGATTTCCCTTCTCTTGTGAAGTCTGCTGCCTAATGGGCAATGAAACCAATGTTAAATTGTTCAGTTTTTACACTGGATAGGCTTAGTTCAAGGACATCTTAATATTGGTGTACAAGAATTATTTTATTTTCATAATCTAGGGAAATTCGTTTCTCTAGTGCATCTGCAGATTCCTTTAAAACTCTTTGTAAATATGGTGACGACTGCCATGGAAAATTGGTCTTTGTTGACACTTCGCCGAGAATGTTTTTCACTTTGATAATGTGTTGCAAGTAAACTTTTGCATAAATATAGTTCATTACCTCTTATGTGAGTGGCAGACATGTATCAGACCAGTTAGTGTGCCAGGTATAGTGGTCATATACTAAGTACATGACCTGGTTTAAATTTTTTGCCAGGGCAAAATACCTGGATAAGACAAAGACAGTAACCACTGATGACAGTTTTTTAAGGTGTTCTATTGTCAGGAAGTGTCCATTTTTTCGCTTATTCCATGCATCATGTACATTTTTGCTCCATATACACTTCAGTGTAAGTGCACACTGTTATTTCTAAGAATGTTTATTGTATGACTAAAACACATCCATCTCATTTGTCAGTTCATTCATCACAGACTGCCATTGTTCTCGTTTTATTGGTTCTTATCATGTATTGTATTTATTTGAACCAAACAAGATAGGTTTTTTTAAGGTAGTTTTTAAAAGTTAGTATTTAATGATGGTAGATTTATCAAAATGTTTCAAAATGTTCTAAGCAGTTAAATTGCTAACATCTTATGTTTTAGTTGATTTTAAGATTTTACTTTTTCAAAATTCTTATTAATGGAGAGAATCACTTGTGGCTTTTAATTTTCCTCACATTTATAATAAAAGAACTTGCGGCATTGCCAAAGTGCTGCTGTCTCTAAGAAGTGAGATTCTGCATGGGTATGCTGTGTGGATGGTTTTGTTTTGCGAGATCTCAGTCTTGCATGTGGTATAAATTTTGACAGAACAGAATGTTGCCTTCAAGGTTGTCTGTGTATTTGTGTGATTTGTTTTTGAAACAAATTAAATTAAAAAAAATATCCCTTTTCAAAAAAAAAAAAAAAAAAAAAAAAAAAAAAAAAGGGTCGGCAACCTTCGGCTCGCGAGCCACATGCGGCTCTTTTGGTGTCCAGATGCGGCTCTTCAGCTCCATGCACAAATATTAATTTTTTTTTCAAAATTCACAAAAATATGGTTCTGCGACACTCGGTAATGAACGATAAAATAATAAACATAAACAATAAACACTCGCTATTCTATTATAATATTTGGTTACGCCCTATTTCAATGTACTTCATATTAACTTGTTTATCTCAAATTGAAATATTCAACTTCATGGTCGAGATCACAAAGAAACTAAACAAGCTAAATGTAAAACTGCATTGAAAGGAAAACCCAGCCTATGCCTTCCTTGAAGAAGATGATTGTTTCGAAAAAAAAATACTTCATTATACTTTATTTCGAAAAATCGGAAAAGAATATCATGATAAAACTATTGACATGAAACATTTCAGCATTACTATGAACGAAATGAAGGATGGGTTCACTGAGAGGTTTGAGCAATTCAAAAGAAATGCAAGTACTCTGACGTTCATAGTAGATTCTCGCAACACAAAAATAAATATGATTAACTTTGTGCTATTAGGAATTGATGATGGTTCGCTTCATATTTGCTAGATTTGAAAACCAAACATTTGTGGAGCGGTAAGTTCACAGATCTCAAGAGCAAGTTCGATGATTTGGAGGTCCAGTAAAACATGTACAACTGGACAGCTCTAAAAGAAATGCCGCGAGTTGAGGTCCTACTATCATGATGCTATAGTAAGGCGAAGAAGTTTGCATTTGGAGTGTTGACGATCTTCGGGTCAACATTCATGCGAGCAAGCGTTTTCTTGCATGAATATAATACAAAGTATAGAAGCCAACTAACAAATAAAAATCTAGAGGCGTGCTTGAAACTGAAAACAAGTTATGAGCCCGGTTTAAACAAACTTTCAAAAGGCATGCAAGGCAAAACTGTTGTAAATTGCATACAATAATTAAAGCTATATACTTAGGTTACCGATTTTATTATTCTAGCAGAGCTAGATAAAATACTTTTATTCTGCGAAGCATCTGTATGTTTTTATTTGAATAAATATTATTCCTTTTTAAAAGCTATTATACATATATATATATATATATATATATATATATATATATATATATATATATATATATATATATATATATATATATCATCCCAATCAACTATAATATTGAAATAAAATTTTAAGTGGCTCTTAAAAAACTGGGATATTTGGTAAATTATATAGTTTGGCTCTTCCGACCCAAAAGGTTGCCGATCCCTGATCTAGGGCATGCAGTTAAAACTGATTTTATGCACTTACATATCGCCTCTCGGCCTTTTGGTCAAGATCAAAGTATGGTATCTGTTGTGGATCTACATAAATCTTAGTCATTTGGTCGGCTAGCCCTTTTTTGGGTCTGGCTGCCGGGGTTGAGAAGTTGGTCATCGAGGCATTGAATGCAAAAGATCGTGTGGTGTTGCGCCCACACATCCCTCGAATACACATAGCTCCCGAGAAGAGTCACCTAGTACTTGTACAATGGTGGCTTCAATGTACGAGTGGCTAAGAATCAATTCTTTTCAGCTAGACGACGCCAACCTAGGAGCAATCTTAGGTAGGATGTTCCGTCTCGACACCATTGAACCTATACTCAAAGCTATATAGGAACCAATAAAAGAAACATAAATTAAAAGAGAAAATAAAGAAGCAAAATCATTGAAGATACTGAAAGGCAAGAAAAGACAAAAGGAAGAAAGTAAAGACATTTTGAAAAGACGGAAAATCGGATTCAAGAAAAGAAACTGGTCCAAAGGCAAGAAAGTAAAGACATTTTGAAAATCAGGAAAAGACTAGAATCAAGAGGTAAAACTGATTGTACATTGTATGCTAATTCATGTAACTTTCATTTAATAAAAATGCGACCTATGCACACAGTGGGCTCCTTGCTCGAGTGATGCAAACTGTGTGGAGGGAAAATTATTTAAAAAAAAATAAATGCGGCTCTTTTGATGTCAAGATGCGGCTCTCCAGCATTTGTTGAGCCGGGTACTGGACGGTGGGGTACGAGTTTACCCTGCGTTTAGTGGGGTGGAAGATAAGCCTGGTGAGAACCAAAGGACAGAAGCGGCAGATACACAGTAATCAAATCGATACCCAAGGACAGTTAGTCAGAGTTTGCCGAGTTGTGGCCTCCCTGGCTTATGAGAGACACCTCCTGAGCCGGTGATGTCCGTTAAGAAGAAAAAAAGTTAACAGCTTTTATAGGACAGTCCTATATTTTTTTTATTACTAATTTCATTATTCTGGCGAAAAAAATTATTTACCTAATCCTAATCAAAAAATAAAATATTGAAAAAAAAATGTTAGTGGCTCTTTAAAACCTGGGAAATTTTGCAAATTGTAACTTTTGGCTCTGCTGTCTCTAAAGGTTGCCGACCCCTATCTAGGGTCATCATATTTACTTTCTCGTATACTTAAAATTTGTATCATTTTAATTCTCTGTAATTCCAAATTTATTTCAGCTCTACTTAAAAAACATATTCCCTCCCCCCCCCCCCCCCACCTTTCAGCCCACCACGCCGATTGAAAAAAAATCCATTGAATCATCATTTAACTACACATTTGCATTTTCATGTTTTTTTGTTTGTTTGTTTTTTAATATTTAGACGTTTTGAATTGGATCTATGTATAAGTAAACCATCTTAAATGAATAAAAGTAGGCTAAAAGTAAGAAAGAAATATTACAATTGTAAATAAGTATCAGTCCTCACAAGCCGATGATGAAAACTGTAATACTAAAGCGAACATGCAAGGCAATCTGAAGCTGTAAATTACATGTCTGAGGCCGAAAAAAGATAAAACAAAAACAAAAAAAAACAAATAAATTTACATTCTCGTATACGAAGCATAGAGGAGGTATTGTAATGGTGCAAAAAAAAATCGAGATTTTCACATATATCGACGTTTTACACCTCCATGAGTCGGAGAAACATAGTTTTGCAAATTTGTCCTTACGTCTGTGTGTGTGTGTATGTGTGTGTGTGTGTAAACACGCTAACTTGATTACCCATACAGCTAGGTTGATGAAATGTATATATAATATTGACTGTTTGTAGAAAACCAAAGCGCAAATCAGTGGAGGGTAAAGCTTGAGCAAGGTTTCGGTTTGTTTCTTATCACCCCCCTCTCCACCAAATCGACACTGGTAGTGGCATGTTTTTACCTTTTAAAAGTGCCACCTAATACCGTACTATAAACACGGTACTTTAAATATGGCACTATATATAATATAGTGGTGTCATAAATACAGTATTATATATATATATATATATATATATATATATATATATATATATATATATATATTTAAAATATTCAAGAAATACATCTCATACCTAACGCAAAGTTCTGACAGTGAATAAAAGTATTTCAGTTCTGGTTTACCATTTTATCCGTGGTTAGGTCACAGTTACTCCAATTACAACATTTATAAAAAAAATGTTAAGGAAACATTTTTGTAAACTTCAACTATTTTACTTTTTGCATCAAATGTTCGCTACAAGGAATTAAGACTGAGCTGTAGTTAAGACAAGGTTGTGCCTGTATTCGAACGTCTCTAAAAACAGCATCGAACTAGCAATGTTATTTTATTCATGAAATATGTAAAAGTTTAATTTAACAACATAGACACATATTTGACTAACAAATACAAACTAAGAAACATTTTTCCCACTTTAGCCTTTATATTCATAGATACATTTGTATATGGAATATGTCGGCGTATATCTTGCTCATTTAAATTTCAGATGAACTATATCCGAATCAAGAAAATGTATTTAATTAATTCGCCTAAGGTAATTTCCATTTATAAATTTAAATTAACCAAGAAGGATAACCTAAAATTTGCTCCCAAAAATGGCTAAATATACAAAGAAATTCATAAATAATTGTAAAATATACGAAACATTGTTTACAGTGTTGAAATAAAACTAAATTATTTTCAATTCTTATAAAAATGATTGTTTAACGTTTGCTTTTTTTAATTTTAAATTATTATCAGGCTCAAATTTTAATTGCAAACAGCTAGCTGAATTAAAGAATTAAATTGTAGAGATGATGAGAAAGTTCAGCTTGAATAATTGGTTATCTCAATAAGTATGCGACACAACGCTCCGTGTAGCTCTGTTGTTTTAATTTACTTAAAAAGAAAATAATTGAAAATAGTACATTCTCTTAGTCCTAGGCTGTAGAGTCACCAGGTCGGGTGTACCCTCACTCCTAATACATATTTATATATATATATATATATATATATATATATATATATATATATATATATATATATATATATATATATATATACTAGCCATCGGCACCCATTACACGTGAATTATAGGCCTATATTTTTGTAATGCTATACTTGTTTAAGAAAAATATTTTATGAAATAGTTATCGGTCAAAACTCAATGTGCTTTACTACACGTTGAACGATATTAGTGAAAATGCAAAGAAATAACTAAATAGTAAAATATCCTCACACATATAGTATAACATAGGCTACCAATACCAATTAGAAAAATTAGAAATAAATCTAGAACACTAGAATTTAAAACGAAGAAGACCAAGAAAATACAAAAATTATTTTAAGATGTGATGTTATCTGAAATTACTGAAGCAAACTTACACCATCTAATTTACAATTATTGTTTTACTGGTGTCACCCTCCCAACCCCCCCCCCCCCCCCCACACACACACGCACACGCACCTGTACGCACAAAAATAAAAAAATAATGGGAGTGGGCAAATGGGCGGGGAAAAATAACTTTAATATGGCTATTATAGTGACAGACAAACTAAAGTTATATGGCATAGCATATACAGACAGCCCGACGACTGAAAACAAAGACACATGGACAAATCTGACGGACAAAATCAATCACACACTAGCCAAATACAAAAATTGTAATACAACAATAGT